AACTGTGCCTGTGGTTTTATCTAAAACAAACGCTGGTCCTGCCCTGATGTGGAGTCGGGGCCCCACAGGCTCCTGGCCAGCCGGTCTGGCTGCAGCACAGAGTGGGGGGCGGTGGCAGTGCCACAGAATCCCAGGAACCCCCATCTCTGTAGCCTCCCAGCTGCTGGAGCATTTGTTTCCTCCCCAGGAGTGATGTGGGAGATGATGTTCCAGTAAAAACTCCCAGAGGAAGAAGAGGGTCGATTAAATGGTATATATGCTGCCTTTCCTCTCTGGGACTTTGGGGAAGTGACTGAGGAAGTTTCTGGAATTTGGGGTCCCTAAAAGGAAGTACCCAGGCAGTTGGGAGTCCTATTATGTGGTCCTGGGCTGCCATATCGTTTCCAGACCACTGGGGCCCTGGAAGTGCCACCATCTCAAAAATGTGGCCCCCTGCCGGGTCCTGGATGCTGCCCTGTCCATTCCTCCCAGGCTGTTCCCTACTTCTGAGAAGTAAACGCGGTGGGGGGGGGGGGTGTCTTAAAGGAAAGCAAGCTTTTCCTCAGGAGAAAATTAACTGTGCCTGACTTCACTCTGAAACCCAGCCTCCTCGCTCAGGCTGAAGTGATGGATGCCTTTCTCTGTGGCACTCCCGGACACACCTTCATTCACTCTTTCAACAGTTACATACTGTCCACTAACTGTGTGCCAGCATCCCTAGGTGCCTAGGATCCTGTGAGGAATAACAGTCCTTTTTGTGTGTGGAACTTACATTCTCACAGGGGAGACAGACAATAAACAAATAAATGAGTTAATAGATAACATGGTTGTGAACAGTTAGGGCCTTGAAGAAAATCAAGTAGGGTGCAGGGCCAGAGAAGGGAGAGGTCATGGTAGCCACGGTGATCAGGAAGGATGGGCCTGCAGAGAAGGGGACATTTGAGCAGAAGCTTGAATTAAGGGAGAGAACAGACCACAAGGATGTGAGGGGAAGAGAGTGGCCGGCAGGAGGAACAGTGAGCACGGTGGCCCTGGGGTAGGAGCATGGAATCGAGAGGGGAGGAACGGAAGACAGGCTAGAGCTGGCAGCCAGGAGGTGGCAGGGCCCAGATCATCCAGGACAGTGTCTCTCAACCTTTTTTAATGACTGCTTCCTCCCTAAAATTTTAATACCACGGATATACTGTATGCTTGTTTCTGTACTCTGTGTATGCATAAAAAGAATAAGATGTTTCTGGGGACTTCCTTAGCGGTCCAGTGGTTAAGACCCCACACTTCCACTGCAGAGGGCATGGGTTCAGTCCCTGGTCGGGGAACTACTAAGATCCTGCATGCGGTGTGGTGTGGCCAAAAAAAAAAGAGTAAGATGTTTCTGCCATCCAAGAACTAATTCTCTCCCCGCCTTTAGAAGCGATATTGCCCCAGTTGAGAATGCATGCTATAGGGCCTTCTAGGCAATTTTAAGGAATGTGTATGTGCCTATTTGAACTGAAAGTATTCAAGACAACAGCTCTATAAACTCCCCCCAGGGTTCCACTTGGATGTTTAATAGACATCTCAAACTTAAAACATCTAAAACCGAACTGCTTATTCCAGTCCCCGAGCCTACCCTCCATCCGCAGTTTCTGCATCTTAGCACCCCCTTGCTCAGGCCGAGGAAGGCTGGCAGCATCTTGACTCCTGTTCATCTCACGTTCCCCCTGCTTCTCACCGCTTCTGTGCTGTCACCCTGGCCCAAGCCCCCACCATCACTCCACTGCTCACCTGGTCTGTTGCAGCAGCCTCTTACCTGGCCATCTCGCTTCGGTTCCTGTCCCCCAAGGAGCCTGCCAGGTAGTAGGTGCCCTGTGAGTGAGGAGGAAGGAGAGGAGGTGGAGAATGTGCCATGGGTTGTCCCGATGGGCACAGGAGCCAGGGGGCGGCTGTGGGGCAGTGGAGGAGCTTTACCTGCTCCTGGGGCTCCTGCCCCAGCCAGCGTCAGCGTGGGAAGCCGGGGTGAGGGAGGGGGAGGACACGTGCTAACCCCTGGTGGGGCTCACACTCCTGTCCCTTCCTGCCCCACCTGCCTCATTTCCTCCCCGTGCAAGCCTCCAGCGGTACCGGGCTCATCACCCTCTCGTCCCCCAGATAGGGCATCCTTCCTCATCAGAAGCAGATCCTGAGCTCTGTTCTTTCATCAAGCATCGCTTGTGCCCGCCGGTGCTAGGGGAACAGGGGCGACTAGTATATGGACTAGGGTGAGGCAGCCCCAGCACAGCCCCCGCTGCCGCTCCACGTGCAACTCATCCTTCATCCCCAGGGCTCCGGCAGGGAGTTCCCAGGCCTCCCCCTGCCATCCTCTCCAGGCCCCCTGGACTTTCTCCTTATAGCAGTCGCCCCACGTATAATCAGATGCCCTGCGATGCTTGCACCGCTGTCTGCCTGGCCCGCCAGGCTGGCCCCGTGCCCGTGGCCGTGTTGCCTACTGCCTCCCCACACCCAGCCCGGCAGCCTCCAAACCTTCAGAACTTACTAAACATTTGTGGGAAAACAAGCGGAGGTAACAGCCAGGGTGTGGAGCTGAAAGGAAGGAAGTTTGACCTTGACAGTGAAGGAGAGAGGGAGGCGATGCATTCCCCCTCCTCTCAGCGATCATATGGGGCTTGTGTACAGGTGTTGGGGCACGGGGGTTCCGCCTGGAACTCGCTGTAATCAACACAGCCGGGGTGTTCCTTGGGAGTCTTTCTTTGGGCCTCTTATCTTGGTGGCCTTGGAGCCATGGAGGAGAGAGATACCAGGCCCTTTCGTGGGCCAGAGCACACAGGACACGCCTCCCCCGACACTGGCCTGGCATTTCAGGGTCATGGCCAGAGTCGGATGCTGCTTCTGGAGTCTGGTGAGCAGCGATGATTCTTCAAAAGCCTAGGTGATATAGCTGATTCACTTTGTTATACAGCAGAAACTAACACACCATCGTAAAGTGATTATACTCCAATAAAGATGTGGAAAATAAATAAATAAATAAAGCCTAGCCGCTGGGGGTGGGTGTTGTCAGAGAAACAGGCCCCTGGGAGGGGTTTTACTTTCCCTCATGTCGTGCTCCGTGAGTCTGAGAAGCAGGGTGAAGTTCAGCTCTCCCCGCGTCTGCGCTCCCCCTCCAGAATGCTCTTCTCATGCTCCAGTAGGGCCTGGGGCACACTCGGGTGTTTCCGGGGCTCAGCAGTGGTTGCCTGTGGTCTCCAGGGCTGTGTGTGCCCTCCACAGACCCTCAGCACGCAGGCCCCTGGACATCTGTCTCTGTATCTCCCTTCAACTAGCCCCAGGCTTGTCCCATCCCCTGTTGAGGGCAGTCACCCTGACTGCAGCAAGACGGGGTCTGATGCCCTCTGACCATTGACACCCGTGATGCTGTTCATGGTAAGAACTGGGGGGGCAGAGGAGCTCTCGGGAGAGGGGCTGGGAAAGCTAATTAGGCTGGTCAGGAAATGACTCCAGCCTCTTTGAAACAGGCTACACCAAACATTTCTTTTCTCCCATGCCCTTTTATGCTTCCTTGCTTTTCCTCATACTGTCCACTCCCCCCCAAACCCAGTACCCTTTCCCCTCATTTCTACCTGGTGGGTAACTTTTCATCTTTCAGAACCAGCTCAAATTGTAGAACGTCCTCTGGAGAAACGCCCCCCACCCCCGCCCCTCCCCTCCCCACTCCACTAAAGGGCGTGACTTTTCTCTGGGTTCCAGAACCATTTGCGTTAGTCAAAGCACTATCTTGTCTTGGGGTCATATCTTTGAATGTATGTGTCACCATTTGACCATGAGCTCCCTGGAGGCAGGAGCGGGTCTTACTCGTGTCCATAAAACCTAGTGGCCAGCCCAGTGCCTGGCACCCAGTAGGTGCTCAGTGTTGAGGCCCTTCGTGAATGAACCTCTCAGGAGAAGCTTCATAGGCAAGATGGCCTCTGAGAGGCCTTGAAGGCTGAGTGGGGTTTGACAGTATCCTATGCAGAAGGCCAAGGGGAGCTCTTTCTTCATGTGTTTACTTGTTACTTGTGTCCTCACACTGGAAAGGAAGCTCCATGGAGACAGGGACGTTGTCTTTTGTGTCCCCAGAGCTGGCACAGAGCCTAACACAGAGTGAGCAGCTAGTACCCACTTAGTGAATGAATGGATAAAGCTCTGCCGGAAAAGGAAAGCAAAGGAAGGGGTTTCGGGGTCCAGGAGGGATGAGAATGAAATGAGGAAAAGTAGCCAGAGCAGTGAGGAGTTCCCCAAGGCGGGGCGGGAGCAGAGGGAACCGGGGGCCCGGCGGGGTGGGGGTCTGGAGCAGGGCTCTGAGAGAAAGGCGGATCCTCTGTGCCCTGGCTGCAGATGGGACACTGCCCCCACTTGTGCCCGTGCAGGAGCGTGGCCTCAGCGGGTGGCATCCCGGCCAGGGCACCAAGGACAAGGAGAAGGGACAGAGGCTCCCGGGTGTCCCCGTGTCAGGAACTGAGTTGCTGCTTGTGGGGGACGGGAAGGGACATGGCAAAGGGCCTCTGAGTCAGGCTCTCAGTCTGATGAACATGCCCAGCCCCTCTGAGGAAGAAGCAGAGAGTCAGTTTGTAATGAACGAGGCCTTAAAGCTTCCGTCCAAGCCCCGTCTTTACCACAAGAAAGGTTCTCTGGGATCTGAAAAAAAAGACAGGTCTCTGTCCCCCACACCGGGCGAGGGTATCTGGGTCACACGCTAGCTGGCAGGGAAAGCAGACTGTCCTCCCGTTGGGTGGCCCGTGCTGCCAGGCCAGGGACACGTCTGAGAACCCATCCAACAGACGGGGAGAAACACAGTCTCCTCTCCTTACCTGTGCTCAGCGAATGAGGAGCCCTCCAGTCTGCCCACGGTGGTCAGATGCCCACCGTGGCGGTTCCTCACCTGCACTGACAGGCCCAAGTCCCAGCTCTTGTCACAGCTGAGAACACCGAGGCTCCAAGAGGGACTCGCCCAGGGCCACCCAGTGTGCAAATGGGGGTGTGTTGCAAACTGCTCTCCCTTGTCGTTCCAGAAAACTCCACGGCCAGTGTAAGTGAGGCAGAAAGGAAGGCCCAGGTATACTACCGTGCATGTATGAACGAAAGCAGGATTGAGGAGCTCAAGGCCAAACCCCTGATGGAGCTGATCGAGAAGGTAAACCCCTATGCCCCATCTCCTCCTGCCCCTGCCCCCTGCCCCCATCTCCTCTGCCCCTGCCCCTGTCTCCTGCCCCTGCCCCTGACCCCCATCTCCTACCTCTGCCCCCTACCCCCCATCTCCTATCCCTGCCCCCTGCCCCCATCTCCTCCTGCCCCTGCCACCAGCCTGTGCCCCTGGCTTCTGCCCCAGCTCTCAGCTGCCACCAGGGCCCAGCCACCTCATACCTCCAGCCACCTCGACCAGCTGGATCATGGAGTCTGTCTGTCTGCTGACGTGTGTCAGGTTGTCTGAGTGAGTGTGTATGTGTGTGTATGCGTGCACATCTCTGTGTAGGTGGGAATGTCTGTATGTATCTATGTGGGGCTGTCTGTCACAGGTATATGTCTCTGGGCGTCTGGGAGTGGGACAAGGGCCCTATTTACAGGGAAGATGTTTCTCTACGTTGCTACTCCCATTTCCTCAGGGGGCGTGTTTGTGTGTGAGGAGGGCTGTGTTCTGGAAGGACCAACAGAAAGTCTGGGATCAGAAGCAGAGCCCTCCCTGTGCGGAGGCCCACACTGACCCGGGCCCCGTCACCCTGAGCAGAATGAGTCTTCTTCCTGGGCACCTTCCAGTCAGCCGTGGATGGACTTGGGCGTCGGGGGGGCGCCCAAGGCTGGCCGCACTGCCCAGTGCACACAGAAGGGTGGCCGTGGGTGTTTTCGGGCGAACTGCTGCTCCCCGGAGGCCCGCCTCCTAGGTGGGCTCAGGGGAGGCACTGCAGCCGGGTGGGGAGCTGTGGGCATCCAGGACGGGACAGCCCCTCCCTGCTGGCACAGGCCTCACGTGCCAGCACGTGCCCAACCAGGGAAGACTGAGGAGATGAAAAGCATCCCAACTCAGAGAGAAACTCTGGTAGACCTTAACCCACCAAACTTTTAAAGAATAAGGACCCTTTTTTTATAGGCACAATGGAATTTCTGCTTCAATAGGAATTACATTCATGTGACTGAGTACGCAAAAGTGAACAGAGTACAGGAAAATTCTCCTTCCCATCCCCATCCCCAGCTACCTAGGGAGCAGCCGCCATATGTTTTCATGACTGGTCAGAAACCCCTAATGAAGACAGACCAGGGACTTCCCTGGCGGTCCAGTGGTTAGGACTCTACGCTTCCACTGCAGGGGGCGTGGGTTCAATCCCTGGTCAGAGAACTAAGATCCCACAAGCTGCACAACATGGCACTGCCAGAAGAAAAAGAGAGAGAGAGGAAGGAAGGAGAGAAAGGAGGGAGGGAGGGAGGAAGAGAGAGAGAGACAGAGAGAGAGGGAGGAAGGAAGGAAGGGAGGGGG